AAAGAAAAAACCATACCTTGATAAAAATATTGCTGAATATAAATGAATCACCAAATATGAAAGCTTTATTACACTGCAAAGAAAAAGAAGCATAATAATTTTTCAGTTCCACATGTCATTAAATGAGCAATAGCACAACTTTGCAATTATACTCACCTTTAGAGCTACCCGAACAGATGGGCAAGATAACAAAATTTTAGATGCATCTTGGGGCTCAAATGATGAAGGAAGAACAAGAAGAGAATTGGTCCTGCACCATTAGAAATTAAGTGCAGGGGAAGCATTGCAAACGATATACTGAATACTGATATTAAAACGTGCAAATAATTGTTCACATAAAAGGTAAATTAAGCATTTAAGAAAGGTTTGTGAATAAAGGAAGATCTATTGTAAAACATTCCTACCAAGTTCCATTCAGCCCCTGGGTATTTACAGGTCTAAATAATATTTTAAAATGGAATAAGTTCCAACTTCCAAATATTTATGAACAACAAATATGAAAGACAAATTAACTATAGTATAAAAGATAACCCTTACCAGCTACCACGCTCAAGGATATCCTCAACAGTAGAATCCAACATTTCAATTATTGAAGGGTGAATGAATGTAGTACTTAAAGGAATGCCATCAGGATATCTGGACTAGAATGAAGCAACATCTCTACCATAAGTTTATGATGTAAGGACAGATTCCATTATTTTAAAGTGAAAACTCAAGATAAAAGAAACAAAATACCTGCAAGAAATGAATGGGGTTGGGAATCCCAAGTTTTCGCAGAAACTCATAGTTAATGATGGAATTCTGTATTAAATTATAGAAAATACATAAGTGAGCACATATTATTACTGAGGAAAAATATTTTCCAACGCTCTCCTAAGTCCAAACTTCTCCAAGTTTTCGGTTATAGCCACAATTAATTGTTGCAAAAGTGCAACCAATAGGCTCTAGAATAAAATGAGATGCTGAGCCTTTTCTGTTTGAGATAATAGATGAAAAGATCATGGACTCACGTTATAGACAGACTTTGTGTGTGTGTGTGTATGTGTGGAAGTGGAGGGCGAAAAAATGAAGACAAAATATTAATAAGAACTCACCTAATACATAAGTACTACATTCCATCTAAACAAGATTAGGATGCTAGACAAGATTAGGTTGAAATGTAGTAATTAAAGGAACGGAACTGGTTTAGAGTTAGATAAAAGAACCTATATTTTTATCTAAAATCTAAACAACATTACAATACTAGACTATAATATATGTATATTTCTTACATAGATTTATGTATATTCTGTAGCCCAAGCTCAAGCCCAAGCCCATAGCTAATAGATATTGTCCACTTTTGCCCCCTTACGTATCGTCGTCAGCCTCGCAACTTTAAAATGCATCTGCTAGGGAGAGGTTTCTACACCCTTAAAAGGAATATTTTGTTCTCCTCTCAAACCGATATGAGATCTCACAATCCACCCCTTTGGAGGCCCAGCGTCCTCACTAGCACACCGCTCAATGTCTGACTTTGATACCATTTGCAGCAGCTCAAACCCACTACTAGCAGATATTGTTCGCATTGGCTGTTCCGTATCGCCATCAGCCTTATGATTTTAAAATGCGTCTGCTAGGGAGAAGTTTCCACACCCTTATAAGAAATGTTTCGTTCTCCTCTAAAACCGATGTGCGATCTCAAAATATAAGCTTAGGCATTTACTGACCATATTTATATAAAAACTTGTGCATGTGTTTTATTATTAAGAACAACAAACGTATAAATGGCATAAAATTACCAGGAAAAGAAGGAAAGATAAAGGCTCCCATTCCAAAGCTAAAAGAGATTTAAGAAATAGCTACCTACTTAAACTAAACTAAGAAGAGTAATAAAATAAATTAATATAGAAGCATGGATGAAAATCAAATCTGTTACATACGCTTCATATTTAGGAGTATGATATAGGAAATCTATGATTCCTTTCAAATGATATTGATACACAAAATTAATTATAGAAATGACAAAGAAATCCGTATTCATAATTTCACAACATAAATACAGTAGAATAATAAGAGCTCCATACCTGTGAGAAGAACGAATCTATGCATTCTTTTTGAGCAATGGAAAATATCTGCATTATAATTTCACATTAACCAAACAACAACATTAGATTTTAAAAAATAAGAGGAACAAAAAAAATCTATATGACTACTGCCGTATCTATTCTCTTACAAACCCAGTTTCTTTCTTTTTCATCTCCTTCACCAACTATCTGATTTTTTGTCCTATTATAATTAAATTTAACTACAATGATCAGCAGCAATCAGCTAGCACATGGTTTACTCATGATAAAATATGAAGATAACTCAACTGCAAATAAGCATTGAATAAAAAAAAAAAAATTGCAAATGTACACATTTTTTGAAGGTTAAACATTACATACCTTTGGTGTCCAATGAACACCTGCACGAAGTGATCCAAGAACTTCATTTTCCTTAACAAGTCCATTAAAAAGGGACTGGAAAAATGAACCATCAACAGCTATACCACTAGCTCCATCAATTCCTAGCAATAATTGCTGTAAAGAGCTCCATATTACAGTTAAATTTGTAGGAACGGTAGTAGCTCTGGTGGCACCACGAACCATGGCAGAAACCCGAGCAACATATGCTGGGGTATATAGCTGACCACCTTCAAGCCTACCTTTTACCTAAATCCACAAAACCACAGTGAAATATTTTCCTTCTTGTCCTAAATTTGGCTGATCATGATAGGCGAGCAGAAATTACCAGCGTCCCAAGCCGTTGAACCAACATGGATGCAAGCAATTCTGAACCAACTTGCAAATCTGCAGCAATTTCAGCCAAAGCAATTTGACTAGATTCCTGAAGCCGCTCATTAATTTCTTCCCCCGCAGAATCCCAATAAGATTGAGATATTATTTCCCCTTGAATCAACATAAGCCGTGGATCATCAGATATAATCTGTTCAGCTTGCTTCTCGATATAGTATAGATCCACACCAATATTATCCGCAAGATCTATCAAAGAAATGCGTCCTAACTTCTCAATCTCAGCCAATATTTCACGCCGTAGGTGCTCCTATTGTATTAGAATGCATTAGAACAAAAGAAGTGGCAATTCAATATGAACTCGTACAATAATTTCTCCTTCCAGCTAAAGGAAATTGCACAAGTGATTGAAATTTTCCATTCCAACAAAACATATTGTTCAAAACCTAATAATATATCCTAAGAAATAAGCCTCTTGCGGAGAGAGAGCAAAAACAAACCAAGCAGCTAAGAAAATTTCAATTACATTCATCAGTTTAACAGAATCAGATATATCTGCAGTAAAATTGTTTGCATTAAGCGATTAACAAGTGGATGGTAGAAGAAAATTATGTGCGATTAGAGAAATATAATTATACAGGAGTGATATATTCTTTGCCGGTGACTGTGTGGAGGAGCTCGAAATCGAGGATACGAAGCTCTTGAAGCTTTTGGACCAATTCAACAACATTTCTTTCCGATAATCGAATGTTTGATTTCGCTTGTTGCGCAAATTCGAACTGTCGCTGAAGTTCTAGCAATTCAGCGTCCATTTTGCCTTGGGGATCACAGAGCCAAACTCGAAAACAAGTGGACTTCGACAAAGGAATTGAAATTGAATTTTGTTTTCTCGACTAAGCTACGTATTTGGGATTCGGATATATACATTCAATGTCTTAAATATTTCTAATTAATTTTAAATACATTTCTTCTTTTTTTTTTTTTTAAATTTAAATATTAATTTGATCCATATGTTCTAGCATGTCCCTCCGTTTCTTTGAAAAGTTTGAAGTCTCATTCCTTGTTCGTCCGGGTGGTCTTTTCTCTCGGTATTCTTGGTTGAGATGATAAGTTTGATAAAACACATCAACTTATAGGTTGCACTTTGCTGATTGGAGCAGCCTTTGGTTGCTTCCTAGATCTATTTTTCGGTTCCTTTTTCTCTTGACTCATTGGTTTCTTCTTCACTTTCTTGTTGTCAACGCCAATTGACACTTTTTGAACATGTTGATGGTTTTTTTAATAGTATCTTATACAGCGGTTTTGCGATCCTCTTACCTTCATCAAGAGTGCTCCATTATGTCCTATATCTTGAGAAACAAGCCGACTATCTCCACTCTAATACCTTCTTCTGTCATTTGACCAAGACTAATAATATTGCTCTTCAAACTCGAAATTTAATACACATTCGTTAATATACGTTGATTGTCGTTCTTACACTGGAACAAGATAGATCATTTGCCTTAGATTGGTACAATTGATCCGTCGCAAAACTTCACGTTTTTAGTGAACTTCTCATCAAGCTACTTGAACTTTGCTCGATCTCCGGTCATGTGGATGCTCGCTCCGTTGTCTAGGTACCACATGCTAGTCTCCACTTGGTCTTCTCTATCTATGAAGGGGTTCATCATAACCTTCTCTTCGTTGAGGATCAACAGGTTGGATATTTTCTCGGCCAACATCAATGTGGGCTCTTCATCATCCGAGAATATGAGGTTTGCCTCTTCGTCGCACTCCTTGTTGCAACACTCTACCGCATAATGCCCGTATTTTCCATAAGAGTAATACTTGATCATACTCTTGTCTTTCTGGGGTTGGCATTGTCATGGGTTTGCAAGGTATTGTCACGGCCTCCTTTGCCACCACCTCCGCGTCCACGTCCATGAACTCTTTTTTGTTTGTTATGTCTGTCATGTCCTCTCGTGTCTGAAAAATAAGAGTCATCTACATCTTTCTTTTTCGTTTGTGCGAGTCACTCCTTATAAGGTTGACGGAGCAAAAGAAATTATTAACCTAAAGCGATTTTAGTAATTGATCACGAGGAAGTTTAGAAGATTGGTGGTGCAATCTCCACTATAAATATTTAAAGATATGTATTATTTGAACATGATTCTTCCATTATCAACTACATATGGTTTAAGATTACACTAATAACCTTAAATTTTTTTTATTAAATACATGATATTAAAATGCAAACAAAATAATCATAACTATTCATAAACCTCAACCATACGAAAGTACATAAAATAAGCCTAAAAATACATTGAGCATCGAAATAGTATTTTAACCTAATAAACACGAACACATTTTGATCGACTCCAATGATTTCAAAGAGCATCAAAACCTTCATTAAAGAGAGCAGCAAAAGTTTCCATTTGATCTCTCTCCTTAACCACTGCAATCTCCATTCCCACATCGCTATTTCTGCTATCACTCAAAGAAAACACTAATGGTGATTCAGCTGACACTATTTCCACCTTCATTGGCTTTCCCCACCCAAAATCTGCACTATAAACTCCAAATCTAGGTGACCCAGCAAGGCCAATGGGTTGTATTTTGGAATAATCATTGGTCATTTCACTCACAATTGTACCCAAATTTTCTGCTCCCTTTAAAGCTCCTCCTCCTCCTAAATTCTTAGTAGCCTTCGAGATCTGTTCACAAGCCAAAGCTATGCCATTTTCACCCAAAAGCTCAGTTCTTTCAAAGGAAAGAAAACTACCAACCACGCAATTTCCAAAGTAATTCAAAGGCACCGGTGGCTTTAAACGAGATCTAACATCACCAGAAAACACGAACAACAAATTTCCATCTCTTAAACCATCCAACTTGGCTGTACATACACACAGATAAGCCGTTGTCACTACAAATGAAGACATTTGCTCATCATTCTTCTTCAAAACCCATTTCTTTAGCTTTTCCAGGTTTTGGTGTGTGAACTCAAAAGTGCTTCGGATTAAACTAGGTTTAGTTTTGGGTAGTTTAAGGTTCAAGCTCCTGTTGTCGGGTCCGTCTTGGTTCATCCATGCGCTTGCATAGATTTTGGCAAGACCTTTTGGATCATCAATAACCGACCTGTCATAGAATGGCATTAGGTTGGCGATTGGAACAGATGATTCGTTCATGCAAATTTGAGCCCACGATTTGATAAATGAAGTTGAGGTTCTTCCATCTACAACTGCATGATGACTGGTTATTCCAATGGAAAACCCTTTGTTCTGAAATATGGTAACCTATTAAGAATTTAAATCAACAATTCAATATATCAAAATTTCTAATCTTTAATAGATTTTTTTTTTAATCCCTATATTATTTGAAAAGTTTCAATTTAGTCCTTTATATTATAATTTTATATTAAAACTTTTCAATTAAGTCTCTTAATGTTGTTGTAACCGTTAAAAAAAAATAACCAGTGGTCGGCAACCCCAAGAACTCCGGCCACTCACTGAAATTTTCGGACAACCTCTCCCAAGGACACACCTGTCTCCCTCTCACAAAACCCTGTGACACTGCCATATAGTGCAGATAACATCATGGAAGAGAGGACTAACGAGCCAGGGAACACCTTGATGCACATGAGTGATTACTACCAAACGGTGTCGTAGCTTTGTTGGTCAAGAGAATAAATTAATTGCTAGTATCAGTGGGACGTGGAGGGGAATCAATAAAATAATGATTGGGGAAGAAGAGAAAGCAAAGATATCCTTGTATGGCCGACTGATCGCAACTCATGCATAGGGTGATACGTTTTAAAAAGAACCCAATAAAAAATTGAAAGTTCTTAAAAGATTAACCTTTTAATTTAATTTTCTTTTTAAAAATAACCAATCATTGTTAGGTACTTAAGTTTTGGAGCCAAGAACCTGGATAGCAATTGTTGCAGCACGATCATGAGAAACAGGCAATTGGGGTACAAGAGGATGAAATTCAGAAACTTCACGGAACCCATTGCCGGAAAGTTGGTAAAAATCAGCTCCCGACTCAGCCACCGTCAGAGAAACACCGTCCCCGTCGACAAACTCGATGGTCGGAACCTCCGACTGTGGAAGCCAAACGAGGTTGCCAGCCAGAGGAAGATAATGGCGAAGAGTGAGAGAGAGAGAGGTTTTAAGCTTCGGAACAACTTCGTCAATAAAAGATATACCATTAGATGGTAACTCGTAGAAGAAAAGGCGTTGGATTGGATAAATTCTCAGCCATAACACGTCGAAGAACGTGAGAGGAAGAGACGACGGCACAGCTGCCGCACGTGACGCCTCCGGCGGCGGAGCCACTTTGCAGATCTCAATTATCTTCACAGATGGAAGATCATCCATTGGAAAGTGATAAGAGAAAGTCACAAAAATGGCCGTTATATATATATATGGAAAGTTGTATTTACATTATTAAAGTCTCTCATTGTAGACTTGGGAACTACTAATACAAATAATTATTGTAGGAGTTATTACCTACTTACACTTTGTAATTAAGTATTTAACTTTAATAATAATTTAAATAATTTTATTTGTAATTTAATATTATTTATTGTATAAAAAATCGAAAGTTACTAGTATAGTCTTAAACCGTATGCAATTTACGTTTGAGATGATCATGTTCAAATAATAACCTGAACGGTATGTATAGTATATGGATAAATTTTGTTGTCTCCTATTGGTACGAACTACTCTATAATTATTATAAATGATTTGATCCAAATCGTTTATGTAAAAAAATTATTCGTTAGAAGATAAGTGATGATAGTTAAGATAAAAAAATGTAATTATAACTCGTAAATATCGACTCACTTTTAATAATTATATGAATGAGTACCATTATTATAGATTGCATATCTAATACCAAAGAAAAAATGCAACCAATGAATCAACCATTATGGTTGGCCGACGAAAGAGAATCAACCATTGAATGCCAGATTTCAATTGGATTTTGTGTGGATTAGGTAAAGTTTAAGTGATTAAAGTATTTTGGGAGGAAGTTCAAACCCTTATTAAATAATTAAATCTTTTAATTTTTGAAAATTTTAAATGGTGCCCGTGTTAAAAATTTGGACCAGGATTTAGAATTTAGATTTGGCAGGCAACGGATTTCCTTGACATTCCCAACATCTACTGTGACGTGGCTACATTACCAACACACTTTCTCACGGCGTGTTTTTTTCCTTACTCACATGCCTCTTCAATTGTAATCTCATATCTAGAATTTGGACCAGAGTTTAGAATCCAAATTTGATACCTAATGGCTTCAACAATCTTTTGCATCTTCGATGATATGATCGCATTATTTACTTCTTTTGAATTGCTTCTAAGAGTGAAAACTATCTCTAAAAATCACGTTACCTACTTTTGGTGAATCAATTATAAGATTTCAAACTTAATCATGTTTAGTTTGGAACCATCTTAGGTAAGGTAATCTCTTGAAACAAGAAAGAAAATATCCGAGCGGCTACTCTAGCTCACCATCTCTGATTTCTTATTCTTATTCTTATTCTTTTAAGTGGTGAAACATGAAACGAAAAAACGAAAAAACGAAAATTGAGTTTTATTAATCTTAGTTAATGCATTCAGTCCCTTAGTCGTTTCTGTAGTCTCTCATCATCATCTTTGTTAGTCTCTCGTCATCATCTTATCATTGGATCTTCGAGGCACGACCTCGATACAAATAGGCTTACAAAAGGAAGTTAAGGGGCAAACTTCCTAATAATCCTCACGCCACAAATCATATATCATAAAACATCATAGGCCAGTTCTATGGTTATCTAAACCTCTAACAATTAAGTTAGGTTTACAATGAGGGGCTAGTTGGCGAACCCCTACCGTCCTTGTATAACAGCATAAATCAAATGCATGAACAATAATCATAACTAACTCATAAGGTACAAATGTAGACCTCTGTCACTCATGTTACAATCGAGTTAGGTTCACGATTAGAAAAAGAAAGAAGAGAGGAGAGAGAAAAAAAGAGAAAGGAGATTAGGGTTTCGAGGTTGGAGGGAGAAGGATGGATAAAAAACAGATGCCGGAGATTTGAGAATCCTCGACCTGGACCTTCAGTGGACTAGTCCAGTCCAAGGCAATGTGCATTCACGAATCACACCTAATTTCATCAAAAACGACCAAGAACTCAAGGTTAGTCTGCGGATGTCTAGATCAAAATGTTTATCGAGATTTTCGTGTGCTAGTGGCGTTTTTTAGTGATTCTTAGACTTTTACCCTCAGGACTCTGATCTTCCAAAGTTTTGGAGTGAAGGCGGTCGTAGACTTCCGTTCGAATCGGAGTTCCAAGAAAACGAGATTTTCTGTAAGAAGTCTTATTTTTCTCCAAATTCTAACTCGAATATTAAGACCGGTGATTATCAGAAAATATAAGAAAAACATATCGAAAGAGTAGAATATGAGATCTACAATGTTCATGAAGAAAACTTGTTGATTCCGATTATGGATTTNNNGATAAAAAAATCTCAAGAAAATAGATTGAAAATGCGAATACACCTAACGATTTGGAAATTTAAATACACGCAGGAGAGAGAAGGACGCCGCCATGCGTCGGCCGGGATAAGGAGGAGCGCGGCAGAATCGACTTAGACACGTGTCGCATTCCGGCTGGTGAGGCGTGCTCTACATGTTGGCTTACACGCGGCAGAGTGCGGGATTCAAGCCAACCCGAGTCCAAAGTGGGTGACCCGAACCGCATCTGGAAAACCGCCCCGACGCGATTGTCCGACCAGGATTTCTGGTCCGCAGGCGTTGTGCGAGTAGATACGCGCGCGTGGAACCGTGCGTCAGTCACGCGTGTAGGTTCGTGAGTAGTTGTTTTTCCTCCGTTAGGCCTCTGTTTGCTTGTTTTGATTTCGATACTGACCCTATTGTTATGTGAATTAGGATCTGTCAAGGAAATTCCAGAATTTTTGGAATCCTTTCCGCCAAGAAACTCGAGCCAGGGAAGGCACACGTCAACCAAGTAAATAGCCATTTGGATTCCCACGGGCTCTACTTGTAGGAACCGCTTGGAATAAGCATGCATGGTATCATACCCATAAACTTAGCTAGTCGAACCTAGCATATTAGTATAGAAACCGTGAAAATGAAATAAACAAGGAAATCTATGGTTTCTAGATATAAATGATTATGTCATCAATTTAGTTTGGGATTCTGATAATGTATGTATGCATGAGGAGGATGAAAAACTTGTGAAATCTGCGCCCGGGTGAAAATGGACGTTATCTTCCCATTGAACATGTTTGTTAATATTGCATGAATTGTTGCGTGTTAACTCCTATGCATGATTGCTTGTGTTATCTTTCTTGTTGAATAGGAAGAAACTACGAGCTTAAATTAGGGTGCTTGTGACTAGGTAGGCTAGACGAGACCCTAGGTTGGGAGACCTCTAGAATACTGTGCATTTAAACTCGCGGAACGACTACCAACGGATCCAGAGCCTAGAATTCCAAACCTGATAGGTTTGTGAGACCATGCATGAGAATCCTAGAGACGTATGAATCCAAGTCTAAGCCACCAAGTTCCACCCTAAAAAGAATAGTAGGACACCACAGTTGTTGGGTTTTTGGCCCTTGATCTCACTTTAGTTAATTTCAATCAATTAATTGATTGATGTTTTGATGATAACAAACCTGCTTTTAATTATTAACTACTTTCAGTATTTTGAACTGTCCACAGTATAAGATCGGGAATAACGATTACAACGACTTTTCAATTACTCAAATTAGAGCTAAAACGAAGAAATTAGAGTCGAGACAATATACTCGACGTGATGATGTGGCAGGAAAATCAAAATATATCAAAGTATGACATTTATAATGTTGGAAGAGTAACAAATTGTGGAGTTTTTCTTATTATTATATTTTTAAATAAAATTATTTTTACAAAATATTAAATTTGAATTTAACCGTTACTCACATCAATTTTTATTATTACTATATTATATTTTTATATTATTATATTTTGAAATCTTGAAATTTTGGTAGTTACTCACATCACATCGTTTTTATTATTATTATATTATAATAAATTTTGAATTTTCATTTGACTGATACTCACATAATTTTTTATTATTATTATATTAAAATTTTAAATAAATGAATTTTAGAAAATTTTCTTATTTATTTACTTTTAATCTCTACCTTCCATTATTCCTAACACAATCTAATGGTCAATATTAATTTCTACATTTTGCCATTTTTCTCCTCTATATAAACTCATCTTCCCCCACATTTTAAAATACACAACTTACATACATTCTCCATCCTCATTTGTTCAAAGTCTCCCTTGTTGGTTGCTCTCTCCAACCTTACAAGTTTATTTGAGAGATTTGTGGTGTGTTATTATCAAACTCAAATACTTGTATCGGTTTGATCCTGTGCCGTGGAAAGGATTGAGTTTGCTCTTAAACTCGTAAAAAGAGCGGTGTAGCGGTTTGGTTCTGATCCGTGGAAAGAGTCGAGAAAGTTCTTTATTCAAATTCACAAGAAGTGCTTGGGGAGTGGAGTAGGTCGAGTTTGACCGAACCACTATAAAACTACGGTGTCATTTTCTCTAACTCTTTCATATTTAATTTCAAAATTATTATTGTGATTTATTGCATGTTCTACTTGATGTTCTACTTGATTATTGTTTTGACTTGAATTATTTTGATCTAGTAATTATCAATCTTCTACTTATTTATAAAAAGTTTCATCATTAGAAAAATTAATCACTTTAAAAACTTTTATCGTTAAAACCCTATTCACCCCCCTTTAGGGTTGCCATACCGATCCAACAATCACGGTAACTGTAGGTAGTCCGCTAGAGTTGAGCAGTTTGGATAGTGTCACCAGAACCTTCACTTCTCTCTCTGCTCCAATATCGTACTGTCAAAACATAGCTCCAATATTAAGATCGTTGAGCTAGGTAGATCCGGACAGGGAAGTGTGACAGGTGCCCCGACCTAGTGATGATAGCTAGGGGGTCTTTTGACCAGGAACCCTGGGCTATAGGAACCCATCCCCGAGCAGGGGACGTGGAGCTACGTCGGATGACTTAGTAGCTGATCGGCACATAGGGGGTCGCAACCCCCGATTTTAGTGGATGTATGTTCCCGTGGGAGGGTTGTTAGCTAACCTCCACGGATGATGTTCAGGCAGAGTTACTTATTCAGATCCAGTTATACGATCCCCTCAGATTCGCTTGTGAGGTTGCGCCTCACCTCAGGACACTTAGCATTCCGCTGCATAAGATGGGCAAGCCTCTTAAGATACAAAAAAGAGAGTTGCAGCTTAGATCGCTTCCCTTAGAACCCTGAGATAAGACCGTGGATACCTACTAAGATAAGGATGAGAGAATAGCCTACAAGTAGGCTACTTATTAAGTATTTTTATACTCATTCCGTTTTTTTTTTTTTTTTTTTTTTTTTTTTTTTTTTTTTTTTTTTTTTTTTTTTTTTTTTTTTTTTGTTTAGGTGAGTGATGCCATTGTTCAAGGTGGGAATGCGTGCTGAATCTTAAAGCCACATAGAAGTGTCCTGAGGTGTCTAGGAGTCTAGACATGTTCTTGTTTTAGATCGATACATTTCTCTAAACCATTTTAAATACTTTTCATTAAACTCATTCCCTAGAACACTTTGTTTTGACTAAACTTTTTGCATAATTGCTAAGTTTTTTTTTTGTTTTTTTCTTTTTGTAAATGCTTCTTGTCGATATCTTGATTTCGAGATTCAAATTTTGGGCTGTGACAATTCCAATTTTGAAACCAACCCTTAAAGAAACTATTTATTTACTTTTCTATATAGGAAGAAATGAATTTCATCACGTGAAATTATGTTTTCAGCTTCTTATTTGGTGAAGTCCCAAAATGATAGGCTTATTGAATTTGCTACAAAAACCACTCTCACTCATGCAAATCAAAGAACAATCCCTTGTAAGTAGGAGTTTATAATTCACTTAGGATATGATTATCTTGTGAAGTATCGATATTATGAATTAACAGATTTATAAAGAGAAATTAAATATTTCGAAGTTCAATCATATGCAAACTCATTGTATAGCGAATCCTTACCCACATATCTTCCCAAACAATTTAAATTAAATCATTTGTAACCGTTATAAATTAGGTCATATCAATATGATTATTAGGATAAGACACTCAATCGTATCCATACTCTTTAAACTCTTTTAAGTTATTACTTAGAACATAATCCTCTGATGACATAAAAATGCAAACAAAATAATAAAATAAGCCTTAAAATACATCCACAGTTGATAACACATTTGAGTCTGACTCCAATGATTTCAAAGAGCATCAAAACCTTCATTGAACAGAGCAACAAAAGTTTCCATTTGCTCCCTCTCCTTAACCACTCCAATCTCCATTCCCACATCGCTATTTTTGCTATCACTCAAAGAAAACACTAATGGTGATTCAGCTGACACTATTTCCACCTTCATTGGCTTTCCCCATCCAAAATCTGCACTATAAACTCCAAATCTAGGTGACCCAGCAAGGCCAATGGGTTGTATTTTGGAATAATCATTGGTCACTTCACTCATAATTGTACCCAAATTGTCTGCTCCCTTTAAAGCTCCTCCTCCTCCTAAATTCTTAGTAGCCTTCGAGATCTGTTCACAAGCCAAAGCTATGCCATTTTCACCCAAAAGCTCAATTCTTTCAAAGGAAAGAAAACTACCAACCACGCAATTTCCAAAGTAATTCAAAGGCACCGGTGGCTTTAAACGAGATCTAACATCACCAGAAAACACGAAAAACAAATTTCCATCTCTTAAACCTTCCAACTTGGCTGTACATACACAAAGATAAGCCATTGCCACTACAAATGAAGACATCTTCTCATCGTTCTTCTTCAAAATCCATTGCTTTAGCTTCTGCAGGTTTTGGTGTGTGAACTCAAAAGTGCTTCGGATTAAACTAGGTTTAGTTTTGGGTAGTTTAAGGTTTAAGCTCCTGTTGTCGGGTCCGTCTTGGTTCATCCATGCGCTTGCATAGATTTTGGCAAGACCTTTTGGATCATCAATAACCGACCTGTCATAGAATGGCATTAGGTTGGCGATTGGAACAGATGATTCGTCCATGCAAATTTGAGCCCACGATTTGATAAATGAAGTTGAGGTTAATCCGTCAAGAATTGCATGGTGATTGGTTATTCCAATGGAAAACCCTTTGTTTTGAAATGTGGTGACCTGTGTTAAGAGTATAAATTATTAATTTATGGAGCAACTATAATAGAATTGACGGAAGAAGTCACAAATTATGGACCAAATTTTATGGTTTAATTAGGAAGAATATTAGTGATTTTAATGTGAGTGAGAAAATTTACGAGGCTAGTTAGTGTTCTTTCCTCATCAATGTTACAACAACAAACAAAATTGAAAAGCTAAGTGATTAATTTGTTCTAAAAGATTTGGTTAGTTTTTGTTTGCCTTTTATGTTTAACAGTTATGTAAGTTTTAAAGGTGGTGTCTTGAATATGTTAGCTACCTGAATAGCAATCACTGCAGCACGATCATGAGAAGCAGGCAAGAGTGGGACAAGAGGATGAAATTCAGAAACTTCACGGAACCCATTGCCCGAAAGTTCGTAAAAGTCAGCTCCGGACTCGGCCACCGTAAGAGAAACGCCGTCCCCGTCGACAAACTCGATGGTCGGAACCTCCGACTGTGGAAGCCAAACGAGGTTGCCAGCCAGAGGAAGATAATGGCGAAGAGTGAGAGAAAGAGAGGTTTTGAGCTTCGGAACAATTTCGTCAATAAAAGATATATCATTAGATGGTGACTCGTAAAAGAAAAGGCGCTGGACTGGATGGAACCGCAGCCATAACAGGTCGAAGAAGGTGAGAGGAAGAGACGATGGCACAGCCGCCGCACGTGACGCCTCCGGGGGCGGAGGAGCCACTTTACAGATCTCAATTATCTTCACAGTTGTTGTTCCTTCCATGAGTTTTGAGATAGGAGGAAGATGAGATGAGTTGGTTTGAGGTTATGAAATTATTGTTGGGTGCACAAATTTGGTTTCGCTTAGACCTTCTTGACAATTATAATAAGAAAAGTTGTTGTATGAGTGGGTACCATATCCTTGCTATGATCTTTGATGACCACAAAAAACAAAAATATTTTATTTGCACCACAACATGAAATTTGTCCCTACCCCTAAATTGGCCATCAACCTCAGCAATAATGTTTCAAGTGAACGACAGAGTGTCACCGTCGCACTCTATCAGGATTCGTAACATGATTAAGTGACATTTACTTTAACCCTCGAGTAAGTCAATCAACTGAAATTTTGGTCGTCATTGGCATTGGTAAGGTATGTTCAAGTCTCTAGCCTAGTTCTTGAGAAAATGTTTTAGAAAATAGAGACAACAGAAAGTTTTAGAAATTTTTTGGAAAATGTTATAGGCTAATTATGCAAATAAATAACTCGATTTTGATAGAGTGTAACCTATGTTGGAAGAATTGACTATTAGTCACGTCCCCTTGTAGTTGATTTTGAGACATTTTAGCCTTGCCAGTGTAAACATGAATGTGGCAAATAACCATTTTCTATTGTAAATAAGGTCGCTACTGCATGCCTGAAATGTCTTATCATCCGCATTTTAGAAATTCAGTAAACCGTGTCATCGACTTAGACTTAAACTATAGTAATAAAAGCTTTAAAATAAAACAACAAATAATAAATAATGTGAAATTTAAATCAAACAAAGAAAAGAATAAAATAATTTCATCTAATTCAAGGGCTACTAAAGACAGAGCAACTACGGTGACACTGGTTCCATGGCCTTCATCGCGACACACAAGAGTAGTGTGTGACTTGTGTATTTTAAGAAATACTCAGTAATTAACTCTGTTGTTGAGGTCAACAGATACAAACATATGCAACATGATGAGACCCATCATTTAAAAATATTTTAGAATGACTTAAGGCCTCTTTCGAATCTTAATAAGGTTGAATGTGTAGTACTTCTCTACACACAACCCACCCATAGGAACATGGGCCCACCAGGCGGGCTCTCACATTCCTTTGGCCTAGCTCGTCGGTGGACCAAAAGAGTGTGCAAGCTCGCCTGGTGAGCTCATGCTTGTACGCATGTGTTGTGATGACAAAATAAGTTAAAATGACTCGTGTTAGTTTATTGGAAAAGTTTTCATTGTATGTGAAATTTGAGGTCATCAAATGACAAATCTGGATTCCAAATCTATAAGTGATGTAGGAGAATGTTGGAACTATCAAATGTCATTTCAAATCTTAATCAAAATCTTAATCTTTAAGCATAGGGTGCTATAAATGATATCAACGTAAAATCTCTCCAATTAGAATATGATTTATGGAAGAATCTAGACATATGCTTTAAAGTTAAGTGTATTTGGCTCGAAACATTCTACATTAAGTGACATCTACCGATGATATCATAGTCACCAAGAGCAAAATTATAATTTAGATGATTTTTTTTTTCACAATTTAATACAAAAAGGTACGTAAGCTTAACCACGTTATATATATATATATATATATATATATATATATATATATATATATATATATATATATTAATTTAATTATATTGATGGTGCAACTTTAAATATTATGAACAAATTTGTAAGTTTCGTAAAGTGCTGAAAATAAATGGACATAAAAAAACAATAGAAATAAGAAAAAAAAAACGTGGGGTAAAAAAAAAAGACACGTGAAAGATAGAATTCAAACTCAAATTCAAATTCAAATTCAGATTCAAATTTTATTGGATTAATAATACCTTACTGATGTCATCAATTACGTAAATATCTAATGTATATCATTGTACTAGGAAAGTGCAATGTTCAAGATGTTACCACTACATGAATGAAACAAATGAACTTAAACGTACCCTAAGCGAGCCTAGTGCACCCACCCTCTAAAACTGAACTTGAATTGTTCTTTTGCTCTCGCTTATTTTTCCGAAAAAGGGTAAATAATTGAGATCTCGAGCTAACCTATTCGTTATGGGAAATCAATATTTTAGCCCGAACAGAGCTTACCTATGTGACGTGAGTGATTGTTGACCCTGCCTGATTTTCTTATTTCTATATCATGAGAATAAATCTACAAATATGATTTTTGTCTTTCATAGAATTTTTCGAGGCCTAAAGTTTTTTGAGAAAAGGTCTGATACATTAATATTATGATTGGGTCGTTCAGGCCATATCTAGAGTAAAATATCATGATCGAGTCGACTAGACTAGGTTTAGAGTGAATAGAAAATCATATATATATACACACATCAGTATCTATCTTGAAGTCAACCAAATGTCATGGTTGTTGTCCCTATTGACATTTGACAAGATCTATAAGATCTATGAAGAAACCGAACGTGGAGGAGGTTAGTATTGGCACAGGTTGATTAAAGGAAGGAGCTGAGAGAAAGGTGTAGTCACACAACAAATCTAGGCTGTTTGCTCTCCGAAAGAAGAAGAACTTGCTTGAGATATTTTATGACTTATGATTGTACTGTGTGGAGACTACAATGAAGTTCGCCAGTTAGCTTCCCTGTAATGAGCCTGTCACGAGCCACAGGGGTCCACAGCTATATCTTACTAGTTGTCTATGATTATTGTTCATGAATGTGAGTTATGCAGTTATACGGGGATAGTTAGGTGCCAACTAACACCTAATCGTAAATCTTACTCGATTGTTAGAGGTTCAGATAATCATAGAACTGGTATTTAATCTTCTATAACATATTATTTTTGTTCGGTGGGGAATATTAGAAGTTTTCCAGTTAGCTTTTCTTTGCTAAACTTGTCATGAGTGGGAGGGGTCTATAGTTGTTGGTATCTAATATGGGTTATTTACCTATAGTGACTTTCCCAAAATTTCGCATGTTTCTCCTCCTCGTTCTTCTCCTACAGCTCTTAAATCCCCTCCCCGACCTCCCCAACTCAAAATTGGGTGGGGAGCTGTCTTTTTCTACCTTCTTGTACCAGATGTCGACATCAAGTCGTACAGTGGCTATTGCCACACGCATTTTCTGTGTTTTTTTTTTAACTCGGTATTACAACTAAAGACATTGAAGTGTACTCTTAGTTCTTGTAGGACAAATTGTGTCCATTAATAGTCATTGCAAAGCAAGTGGTTAATTTATGAGTTTTTTATAATTAGAATTTGATCAAAAATTTATTTTATCTCTATAATAACATTCCGAACCATTAGATTACACTATAAAAACCTTAAATTTTTTATGCAATGAATGACATAAAAGATGCAAACAAAATAATCAAAATAAGCCCTTAAAATGCATTCACCATTGATAACACATTTGAATTGATTCAAATGATTTCAAAGAGCTTCAAAACCTTCATTAAAGAGAGCAGCAAAAGTTTCCATTTGATCTCTCTCTTTAACCACTCCAATCTCCATTCCCACATCGCTATTTCTGCTATCACTCAAAGAAAACACTAATGGTGATTCAGCTGACACTATTTCCACCTTCATTGGCTTTCCCCACCCAAAATCTGTACTATAAACTCCAAATCTAGGCGACCCAGCAAGGGAAATGGCTTGTGCTTTAGAATAATCATTGGTCATTTCACTCATAAGTGTCCCATAAATTTCTGCCCCCTTTAAAACTCCTCCTCCTCCTAAATTCTCTACAGCTTTCGAGATTTCTTCACAAGCCAAAGCTATTCCATTTGCACCCAAAAGCTCAACTCTTTCAATGGAAACAATACCACCAACCAAACAATTTCCAAAGTAATTCAAAGGCAGTGGCGGCTTTAAACGTGACGTAGCATCAGCAGCAAATCCAAACCACAATTTTCCATCTCTTAAACCATCCAACTTGGCAGTACATACACATAGATAAGCCGTTGCCACTACAAATGAAGATATTTGCTCATCATTCTTCTTCAAAATCCATTGCTTTAGCTTCTGCAGGTTTTGGTGTGTGAACTCAAAAGTGCTTCGGATTAAACTAGGTTTAGTTTCGGGTAGTTTAAGGTTCAAGCTCCTGTTGTTGGGTCCGTCTTGGTTCAGCCATGCGTTTGTATAGATTTTTGCAAGGCCTTTTGGATCATCAATAATGGACCTGTCATAGAATGGTATTAGCTTGGCGATTGGAACCGTTGATTGGTCCATGCAAATTTGAGCCCATGATTTAATAAATGAAGTTGAGGTTCTTCCATCTACAACTGCATGATGATTGGTTATTCCAATGGAAAACCCTTTGCTTTGAAATACGGTGACCTGTATTAAGAATTTAAATCATTAATTCAATATACATTTTTATCCTTAATGGAGTCCTTATCCAATAATCTAAAAATTTCAACTAGTTTCTTAAAATAAATACTAAGAACAAATTTGAAACTTCCCTAAAGTTGCAGATTTTAAGAGTAACGTTTCACCTTTGGCTTCTTCTCAATGTTTCGTTTTCTCCCTAACTGATGTGGATCTCACAATCCCCTCCCTCCAAGGTCTAGCGTTCTCACCAACACTAGTTACTCATCTCTAATTGATGTGGGACCTCCCCATTCACCTCCTTCAGGGTCCAGCATTCTCGCTGACACTCGTTCCTCTCTCTAATCAATGTTAAAACCTCCAATCTATTGCCATTTGGGGCCAAACGTCCCCACTAGCATATCGTCTGGTGTCCACCTCCTTCGAGACTCTGCCTCTTTGCTGTTACACCCTCCACTGTTTGGCTCTAATACATCTCTAAGCAGTGTGGGATCTCACATTTGAACTTCTAAAAATACCTCATTAATTCCCCAATTTTTAAAAGTTAATTGATTTAAAACCATCAAATAAAAAATAATAATAAATTGAAAGAGTTATTAAAGATTAAACTAATACTTCAATAATTAAAAAAGAAAAACCAACATTGTTAGCTACTTAAGTTTTGGAGCTAAGTACCTGAACGGCAATCACTGCAGCACGATCATGGGAAACAGGCAATTGGGGGACAAGAGGATGAAATTCAGAAACTTCACGGAACCCATTGCCAGAAAGTCGGTAAAAGTCAGCTCCCGACTCAGCCACCGTCAGAGAAACGCCGTCCCCGTCGACAAACTCGACGGTCGGAACGTCAGAGTGTGGAAGCCAAACGAGGTTGCCAGCCAGAGGAAGATAATAGCGAAGAGTAAGAGAAAGAGAGGTTTTGAGGTTCGGAACAACTTCGTCAACAAAAGATATATCATTAGACGGTAACTCGTAGAAGAAAAGGCGTTGGATTGGATGGAACCTCAGCCATAACAGGTCGAAGAAGGTGAGAGGAAGAGACGACGGCACAGCCGCGGCACGTGACGCCTCCGGCGGCGGAGGAGCCACTTTACAGATCTCAATTATCTTCAGAGATGGAAGGTGATCCATTGGAAAGTAGGTTTTTGGAGATATGATATTAGTGATGAGGAGGATGACAAGACTTTGCCGATTTATAAGAGAGAGAGAGAGAGAGAGAAATGGCGTGTAAATCAAGGCCTCTTTGTATTGACCGCCAAGGAAGTATGTAAATGAACTTCACAAGTGTCGGTTTTATATTATAAAGCTCACAATTTTGTATTAAACGTGAGGTATCCAAATGAGTTTTCTCTTCCTCCTCTTTAGACTATAATATAAACCAGGTGCATGTGCCATATGAAAACAAATCGATATGCAAACAAATAAGTGGAGGAGAAATAACAATTCGAAAAGAGAGTTCGGTTCGACAGAGATCAGGCAACCTCAGTCTCTTCCCGGAATTCATACCAGTCAGTATTGATTTCCACCACCGTTACTCTTAATCATAGACAGACTTGCACTTTCTTCTTCTTTTATTTTTCGGTATGCCGTTCCTAATCTTAAACACTATCCTTTTCAATTTTCTATGTTTGTTGTGAATAGAAATTACATTTAATGAGTATTTATAATAGAGAAAACCATAACAAATTTTCTAAGCTTTCTCTAAATTAAAACTAAAGTTAAACTTATTGTCCCACCATCTTCATTGAAAGCGTGACTTTGTTCGTGATTCTTCACTCTCACTAACTTTTGTACCTTAGCAAACTTAACCCTTGATAGGACCTTGGTGAGAATATTTGCATGTTATTCTTAGTGCATATCAACTCTATAACGATCTATCTCTTCTCCACACACGCACGATTGAAGTGGAAGCGAGTGTCAATGTGTTTACTGTGTCCGTGAAATATCATATTCTTCATCAATGCAATCACAGATTTGTTATTGACGTAGAGAGTTACCGACATTGGTTCACTTCCGGTCACTTTACTCACCAAATTTCTTAGTCATAATGCTTGGCATGATGCCGCAATTGCTTCCATGAACTCAACCTCGTAAAAAGAAAGTGTCACAGTTCACTACTTTTGAGAATGCGAAGAAATCATATTTTCGTTCAGATAAAACGTCATTATTGCGGTGCTTTTTCTATCGTCAATGTCTCTAGCTAAATCACTATTAGTGAAATCGACTAGTTTTTCAGGACCTCGCCCTCTTTGATACTTCATGTCATTTGCTTCACATAGCAAATAATGTGCTTAATCGCTCGAAGATGCACCATAGTAGACTTTTTCATGTACCTACTCATCATTCCAACAACATAGGAAATGTTTGGATGAATATCAATTAAGTACCTCAAACTTTCGATGACGCGTCTATACTCATGAAATTCACCAAGCTTCCTTCAACAACTTTTTCGAGGTGTAGTTTTGCTTCCATGCTATACTTGGTCAGATTGCACTTTGGCTCATCAACTCTCGCTTCAGGTGTTCTGTTCTGACTCCTCGAGTCTTTCTTAGTCTAGGAGTACTGTGGTCTAAATTCTCTAACCATCACTCACAATTCTGAGATATTCGGTCTACTAGAGACCTTCTGACCCAAGTCATCGTCTAGCCAATCTAACTCTATGTCCTAAATCTGTATAGATAAACACGCTCTATAGGGAGAACACACAATCTAACACTTGGAGCTATAACATATTATATCATGCAAACATACAAAAAAAACAAGTACAATGGGGAGATACCATCACTCAATCACTCGAAGCACAGAACCCAATAGTCTATCCTCTTTTCTAACAAAGCGGAAATCATATAAGATAACATTCATCACAAATCTCATCATAGGGCCATTTTAGTAATTTCTTACATCATGTATAACATACTCATCCATATTACCCAACTCATATTTTAGTCATGCATATTCTCTTTCTAGCTTTGCATTATACATAAAACAACATGCTTCTAGGAAATCTCAACCTAGGGGCATACCAGTGATTTTATCATAACATACATACAATACACACTCATCCAAAAACGTCATTCTTAAGTTCTTGACATGCATTTTCTAACCATCTTAGGTAAGGAATGCTCGCATGTTAGCACGTCCTAGTGATACTGACAAGTATTACTCGCCTAGTCAGTGTGTTTACTTACCTAGATGACACGTGTCTTTCTGAGCTAGTTTTTCTATACGTTAGAAGCTTTAGAATAATTATTGAAATTTCTCTGGTACATCCTTATTCAAGTCATAATAAGGTGAGTATCAAAATCAAGACAAAAAGCAATGGAATGGGGCCAAATGGGTAGAGAAATCACATGTCATAACCTCACTAAGAAGATAAGTAGATTGCGACCCTCACATGTAAACCAACAAGGTGACAACCCTTAAGTGACATGCATCCAGTCACTGAGGGTTGAGAAAGATAAGTGCCATGATGCGACTGAGGAGGGTGGTGCATCATCCAACACATAATGAAGAGTGTGCATCAAAGAAAAGCTGAGACATAAGCAACGTTGGAGCGAACGAGGTGACACGAGTGTCAAAGACAAACTCGAAGATGGCCGGGTAAGGCCCCTAGTCATAACCTCAAAATTTAGAGTTTCGATATGTATTGCGGCATGTGGCTTTCGAGTTAAATTCATCTATATAGAAGATGAAAGCTCATTAAATTTGGTGTTAATCGAATATGTTACGGATGCTCCATAAAGCTATATGACCGCTCATCAAAATGATGTCTACTCCAAAAAGATTAGAAACGTCTTAAAATGTACTACAAATTTCAGATTTCGATAAATTTTCTAATAACTTTAGATTTTCATAACTTTTCCTACCAAATTTGTTTCAACTCGATTTCTTCATGAAAGTTATAGAGTTTTAATCGACTTACACGAATGTATTTTTCTTATAGTTTTTATTAACTACTGACATACTCAAATCTAAAGTTGGTCAAAATTAACGTTCTTACCGTTCTTGAAGGCTTTTCAGAATTATTTCTTCACAAAAAAATATGTGAAACTCACCTAGAACAACATACTAAAATTAAAGAGGCTAATTCCATCAAATACTTACGGATCTCGAGGGAAGCCTAAGATCTAAAACTCAAAAACTAACCTTTCATTCTTCCTCGCTTCTTGAAGGAATCGAACGAATCAAGCCCTCATAATGAATCTTCTCATGTTGATGAGAGTTTCTTATGAAGAACTCTCAGTCAAATTCAACCTTCTATCGACTAATTGTTTCGATTTTTCCTATTTTGGTCTTCTTCTTCCTCTCAAACCCTAACCTTTTGTTTTATTTGCACGGGATCTCTCCAATGCCTCATCAATTAATTTTGACCAATATTTTTTTTTAAGTTCTCGAGATTACTCGAAACATTTTTATTTTTTACATCAACATGAAATTCAAATTCAGTTTCTAAAACCCTCAATAAAATCTTGAAAATTCAATTTAAAAAAATGGAATATTTAATTTCTTCTTTAAGACTTAAGTATTAAGTATCATAATTTATGGTGAGACCTTCTTTTCTGACTATTCTTTATGCGAGAGTTCGTGTTCGACTATTCTTTATGCGAGAGTTCGTGTTCGTTAGTTGTGACGAGACTTAGCCAATTTACAAGAGAGAGGGAGAAAAATGACGTGTAAATCAAGCTCTCCTCGTATTGGCCAACATGGAAGTATGGAAATAAATTGTAGAAAAGTTGGTTTGAGCTTATGATTGTTGGGTGCACAAATTTGGTTTCTCTTTGACTTTCTCTACCATTTTAATAAGAAAGGTTATTGTCTAAGTGGGTACCATATCCTTGCTATGTTCTTTATTGACCATTAAAAACAAAAATAGTATTTTATTTGCAATAGAATTAATTCTTTATTTTGTATGTTGAGTAGTTTGTGAACTTTAAAATTGGTAGGATAGGTGAAACACACTTATTAGCCCTAAAATTAAAAATTAAATATAGCTAAAAAGTGAGAATCATCATTGTAATTAGATTGTCTCCTTTGGAGAATCCCACCCATGTCACAATCGCATTTAGTTTCACCCTCAAATAAGTTAACCAACTGAAATTTTGATGGCCACTTGCATAGGTGACGTATACTCAAGTCTCTAACCTAGTTCTTGAGAAAATGTTTTAGAAAACGGGATAAAGAAAGTTTTAGAAAACGTTTGGAAAATCGATTTTGTCCCGGCTACTAGACTAGCTCTGTCTCCATTAGTTCTAGTTTCAGTGCCAGTAACCATCTCATTCAAAAATCTAGCTAAGTTTAAGTCACCTTCTACATCAGTGCTAGAGAGAGCTCTGACTTCTTACAAAGTGATATCGCACAAGGAAAAAATTCCATGCTAATTTAGAATATCGGAAGATTCATGATAATAATGCTCAAATTGGAACTCTCAACCGCTCTGGAAACAAAATTTCAAACTAATGTAAACAAAAAATGATCAAAGATGGCAAGAAGTGTAGCTCTTGACATCATGGAAAGGACAAGGGAAAGAGATTATTATTTAATTTAAATAGCTGCAAGACCAAATCAGAGTGCAAAAAAGTGAAAGCCCTCATTTTCACTTCCTCTGAGATACACGACTTACATACGCCGCTCAACATTCTTGGAAAACAATCGAATCGAGGATTCGGAGGCAAATTAGCCATTGAATCTTGTAAACTAATTGAGACCGAAATTGAAAAAAAAAGAGACGAACGGGGAGAAATAACCAATCGATGAAGGAAACAGAACCTTGAGGCATTTGAGTACGCCGAGTGTAGAAATGATTTTGGCGAGTGACCATTGTAACGATCCGACTTTTCTATTGAAAATAAGATCGCCACTATCATGTGGAATATTCATAGAAATCAAGTAAACAGTGTCATAGACTTAAACGTTCGTAATAAAAGCATCGAAACAAAACAACGAAAAATAAATATTGTGAAATAATAAACAAAGAAAAGAATAAAATAAAATCCTGATCTAACCTAAGGGCTACATAATGTAACTACTCTTAACACTGGTCCCATGGCTTTCATCGCGACAACGTCATCCGTATAGGGATGCATTATCTTTACCTATAGCACGTGACTTAAATATTTTAAGAACTACTTAAGAACCCCACTGTTGAGTCAGTAAATACAAACACATGCAACATGGTGGGACTTATTGTAATGATTCTAG